GCAAAAAAAAAAAAAAAAATATATATATATATATATATATATATATATATATATATATATATATACCATTTCAAAGAAATCTATGGATTACAGATCCAAAGATAGATGTTAACTATTGTAACTCTGTCTAGATGTTTACAGCAAAGGGATAACAGTAACCACAGTACAGGACTACTGGGGAAGAAATCATAGCTGACAGACCATGATTCTATTTTCTTAAATGTAAGTGTATGCTGTTCAGTTATGCTTTTCCTTTTTCACAATCCAGATAGGCTGTGGTGCAGAAAGGTCTGGCAGATCACAAGAGCACATATTACTGTTTTATTCACTCCAGCACAGATCAGGTTACACCCACAGATTCCCAAGCTCCCCCCAGTCTCCAGGGGTAAGTACCTTTTCAACTGATAAGGAAGAATCTTCCTAAGAAAACATATGTAGGAGGTTAAATGCTCTGAAAAAGTTTTCAATTTCACAGTTGTCTCCTGGAAAAAAAAAAAGTTTCATAGTTAAAAGTGCTATTGGGCAAAAAGGAGTTCCCAGTTTCCAGAAGTAAAACAAGGAAGAAACATACCAGGACAGTCACAGTATCCTCAGTAATACTTTCAAATAAATGAAGCATTCCTTCCTCAAGAGGGCGGACATAAGACGCATTTTCATGAAGGTACTGTGAGAACTAAATAGGAGGGAAGGAATTGTGAATTAAATCACTGTAATAACAAACATCAACACATTTCTAAATGGACCCACTGAGTTAAACCTAAATTCTTTTGAAGACTTTTCATGGAAATCTGGCTTTTACAAAGATGTTCCCCTCTAATAGTACCAAGTCTCCATCCCATTCCAAATAGAGAAACTAGAAGAGGGGAGAACACAATTAACAATCAGTCAGCAGGGCAAATGGGGAGGGGATACTGTATTATAACCCAGCACTGACAGGCCAGCTTCCCTGAATACTTGCTTCTCCACAGGAGTCTCAGTTTAACAGCAAAGATTTGAAAATCAAGACCATATGACAAAGATTTTTGTGTTACATACCTCATTTAAAAAAATAAGCCTGTTGAGGACAGCTTCTTATTTTTACTGTATACAATATTCAGGGTTAACAAATTCCAGAACTGTAATTATCATCAAAATGAGGATATAAGAACTCTGATAACTGTCACTGAAACCTTAGTATTTACAAAAAACTAATTCAGTACAAAGAGTAGATTCAGAAAAAAATCCTATAAGCATTTAGAGGCAAAAAAGACAATTTTCAGCCGGGCTCGGTGGCTCAGCCTGTAATCCCACGCCTTTGGGAGGCTGAGGTGAGTGGATTGCCTGAGCCCGCGAGTTCGAGACCCGCCTAGGCAGCGAGACCCCATCTCTACAATAAATCAAAAAATCAGCTGGGCGTGGTAGCGCATGCCTGTAATTCCGGCTACTTGGAAGGCTGAGGCGGAAGGATCACCGGAGCCCAGCGGGTCAAGGCTGCAGTGGCCGGAAGCGGCCACTGCACTCCAGTCTGGGCGACAGAGTGAGACTCCAACTCAAAAAAAACAAAAAAGACAATTTTCATTTATGAAGTATCTCAATTATCTAAGTATAGCATAATAGCTCAAATTTCAATTTCTCATTATGGAAATATAAGATCTTATTTTGCATAAATACAATTCAACTGACCCCACAGCAAACTACACAGATCCATGGCCCTGGATAATGCACTAAATTTCTTTGGGCTTCACTCTTCAGAACTGTAAAAAAAGACGAACTCTAAATGTACGGGTCTAAATAGAGGTCTACTTTATGATTCTATGAAAAAGTTTAACACACATGATAGCTGGGCTCAGTGGCTCAGCTTGTAATCCCTGCCCTTTGGGAGGCCAAGGCAAGTGGATTGCCTGAACCCACAAGTTCCAGACCAGCCCTGGCAATTTGGCGAGACCTCGTCTCTACAATAAAAATTTTTAAAAATTAGCCAGGTGTGGCAGTGCACTCCTGTAGTTCTGGCTGCTTGGAAGGCTGAGGTGGAAGGATCGCCAGAGCCCAGCAGGTCAACACTGGGGTGGCCATGAGCGTGCCACTGTACTCCAGCTTGGGTGATGGAGTGAGACTCCAACTCAAAACAAACAAGCAAACAAAACAAAAAAAACCACTGTGGTAATCTTTTAACAAATAGTTTCTGAATCTCCTTCAATAATACAGACTTCTGTAACAAAAACCGTGAAAAAAAAAGTAATAATAATAATATAGACTTCTTAGAAAAATCACATAAAACCTTTCATAGGCCAAAGCACCAAAGGTAAAACATTAGGAAATATATGAATTCTTCAAAGTAACGAAATGCCTCAGACAAATTAAAATATATTTTGATTCTTGCTATATGGGTATAACATGGCAACAAGCTAAAATAAAAAGCCAATAATGGACAAGAAACCGGTGTTAGGTAGAAAATACTTTTTGCCATTACAGGAAATATAAAAGAAAGTGTAACTACATTAAATTATTACAGTACTGTTTTCCCTATCTGGGTCTTCTGAAAGCGTTTTCTCCACACTGATATAAAAGAGTACTTCAAAGGCTCAAAGCTTGTTTTTTATAAACTTCAATAGATTTGTGGAGGCAGATCAAACTGGTGAAAATCACATACCTACTGAGAGCTGCCTACGTGTAAAGCATGATGACGATGATGATAACAAGAGCTGACCTTTACTGAGTGCTTACTACATGCCAGGCACTGCTCTTGGAGATTTACATGTATTAAACATTATCATATTTAATCCTCAAACATGAATACCCGTGAGGTAAGTATTCTATCACCCATTTAAAGATGGGGAAACTGAAGCCACCAAGAGAACTTAACAAGAAAGTGGCAGAACTGGACTCCCAAGAAGTCTGACTCCAGAATACATGTCTTTGCTACATAAGGGGACTATAAACACAGACATAAGCACAACTCAAACCCTGGAAATACTAGATGACACACAAAAGTAAATGGGAAGGAAGAATCAGGTTAAATACAAAAAGTGGCATGATTCATTTCAGATCACCACATTATGAGGCGCTCAGAGCACACATCTATAGCCATTTCCCTCAGTTTCCCCCCGTGGGAGCCAGCCTTCAAGATGGCCCCAATGAGCCCCATCTCCTGGCAATCTTGGTTTGGTGTACTATGCTCTCATATTGTTTCAGGGTTGGTTTGTGTGACCAGTACAATAAGGCAGAAGTGACCGTATGTGACTACGTAGGCTGTGTCATAAACGGCATTGTGGCTTCCACCTTGTTCTCTCATGGACCACTCTCCACAGGGGATGTTAGCTGCCATATCGTGTCTCATACAGCCTTATGGAGAGGTGTAGGCCACGAGAAACTGAGGCTTCCAGCCAACAACCAGTGCTAACTCACCAGGCATGTGGGTGAGTCATCTGGGAAGCGAATTTTCCAGCCCCAGTGACATCCTTACTGAAACCTATGAGAGCTGGTGAGCCAGAAACACCCAGCTAATTAGCTCCTGAATTCTTGACCCAAAGAACCTGTGACAGAGTAAATGTTTGCGTTTGAAACTAATAACCTTTGGAGTAGTTTATTACATAGCAATACACAACTAATATACTAATATTTATTTTATCCTTTTCAGTTAAATGAAAATTTGCAAGCTACCTTAAATCCTTTTTTAGAATTAGCTGGGGAGAAAAAAGGAAAGAAAGGAAAAAATCTAATAGGCTCCGGAAAAGCACATGAACTGAAGGAAATGACATTTAAACCCTGGTCAAACCTCACAAACCCTGAAGATGCCTTCCAAGCTCAACTGGACAAGCAGTTGCCTCCCACTCTACAACTCAGCAGGAAGGAAAAATGTCAACTATGCCACACAGGTTGTTTTGCTTCTAAATGTGCCCAGTGAGGGAAGTTACACAGTAAGTACAAGCGGGAAGCGAGAAAAATGCTGGCAAATTAACTTTACCAAACATAAATTGGCACTTTTCATGAGAAAAGCCATGTCATCCCTGATCAAAAAGCTACAAAGGTCTGGGTGCAGTAGTTCACTTCTATTTTCCCAGCATTTTGGGAGGCTGAGACAAGAGGATTGCCTGAGCACAGGCGTTCAAGACTAACCTGGACAACATGGTGAGACCTCATCTCTACAATTTAAAAAAAAAATTAGCCGGGCAAGGTAGTATGCACCTGTAGACCCAGCTACTCCAAAGGATGAAGCAGAAAGATAGCCTGAGGCCAGGAGGTCAAGACTGCAGTAGCCATGAACATGCCACCACACTTCAGCCTGGAGGGCAGCATGAGGCTTTTTTTTTTTAATTTTTAAAAAGCTACAAAGGCTTCACATAATATCAATAAGGGTATCTGATCTCAAACCAGGTGAAGTGGGGACCAAAGGGAGGCCCAAACTTTACCTGTATGATGACCCCTTATGTACCTAATTCCAAATTGTACCCCACCTCTTTAAAATGGAAAAAAAAAAAGAAAAGAAAACTACAAAGGCCTCAATTCCATAAACAAAGGGAAGGTCTATGTCTGGGGCTATCCTTAAGGGTCTTTCAGAACCTGAAGCCATATTTTCTCTTTGCAACTTTGTTTCCCATTCCTCCCCTCCCAGAGATCTCTTACCCAACCAGGAGTTTGTTCATTACTCCCTGCTGTCCCTATCCCCAGTCCCCACATTCCCTATGCTTTCCTGCTCCACGATTTTGCTCACATCTTCTAGTTAAAGTCAACTATCGAACTATTATCCTAAATTTTAAAATCTATCCCGCTTCTCTCCTCCTATTCAAATCCTGCTCATCCTTCAAGACCCAGTCAAATCCTTGCAGAATCTTTCCCAGACATTACCACTGTAAACAATCTCCCCTCCCTGGTGATTTTATACCAGGGAGTGGTATATTTTATACCACTCGCTTACACTGAGGTCTTTTAAAAACTTCCCTAGTGTTTAATTTCTTAAGAGCCTCTGTTTTTGCCAAATTGTATCTTGAGGGTAAAAACTGTAACTTTTGGTTTTTTTCCATGCCCTCCACAGCACTTGGCTGATGCATAGTGGTGGTCTGAAAACAAAGTGTATTCTCAGCTAAATTTACCTTCTGATTCAATGGAGATATAGTGTCGATGGCAGAATCAACAGGAAAAATCTGAATCCTCTGTTCTGTATAGGTGTGAAAGTTCAGAAGAGCTGTCACAAGATCTTGAACAAAAGCTAGGGCCTGCCCAGCAATATCCCTCATCTTCAGCTTTAAAATGAAAAGTATACAGTTAAAGTCAACTATCAAATGATTATCCTAATGTAATTCTAAGTCTACTTCTGGAGAAAACATGTGAATTCTAGTGTGATTATTTCCTAAGTTAAATTCATTTGTTCCTACTTGAATTTTACCATTCCTAGCTAAGTAAATTAGAAAGCCACCAGTTTTGGTAACTATACCTCCTGTACTGAACCCAAACCATGTAAGTACAAGGTCCACCAACCTAGAAAAAAAAGTATGGCTCAAAAAATTAATGCACCTCATAATTCAGTTCTAATGTTATCAGATAAGAGAGAAACCAAAAATCTGTATTACTTATGAATTCAATAAAAAGCAAGTTACATAATTTGAAGAAATATATGAGAAAGTAAAGCAAAAAATTAAACGTAATTAGGCTCAAACAACTAATTCTTATTTCTGGAAAGTTTGACGTACACATGGTTGAAAATAAAAATGTAAACTTCATTCTTTACCTGATGTCTCCTATTGTGGAGTGGAACGTTTAGAGCATTATACTGACTATATTCTGCAAAACAAAAATAATGTACATTACGTCTCTCATTTTACATTTACAGGAAAAGAGCTAAGCTGCAAAATAATGAATGCTCTGCAGCAAAATCACCTTTAAATAAGAATCAGAAATATGAACACCACAATCACAGTACAGGGGAATAACAAAATTTATATAGAATCCATGGTTTCTCAGATAGGGTAAAATTTCTAATTTTTTAAACTTCAGTCTTAAAAAAAAAGAAACAAATCCTGTGTTTCCATTTTTAGGAAACCGTTTCAAATATTTATTTGGGGGCTATCAAGATGACTTAGAAAGGCTCATGATATTCTTGCCATTTTCAGTTATTCTCCCTTCTAAAATAGCCCTGCACACAGCCACCATACTAATCATCCAAAAATACCACTGTTTTCATGATGCTACAATATTTAAAAATCTATCACTGTCTGCTACTGCTGATCTCAACGACTCAATCCTAACTCTTCCATATGGCTTCAGTATCTTTCTCAAGGTCCTCCTGGTATGTCATCAACCTCTGACAGCTTCCTCACATCTGGCCTCACACCCCCTCAACCTCCTTGATGATCTGCATTTCTACTCATCTGTGCTCACCAATTTAGCCATTCAAACCTGCCCCCACCCCCTGCCTATATCCTCAGTCAGAATGACCCCAGTGCTAAAATCTGATTCTGAATGCTCCTGTGCCATTCTCAGCCAGTATCTCTTGTGTCTCCATTGCTACTCACTTGGCTATGTATTCCCAGCTTGTCTTCTGCCCATCAAAACCTCCCTTCAGCCTTGTTTGTTTGCTTTCCAGGCTGGTCCATTGTTTCAACACAAAACCAGAGCAAGGTCCACTACAATTTACTCCGCCTAACTTCAAGGAACTTCAACTCTACTCAAAAATCCATTTCACTGCTGTGTCCCTATACACTTCCCACAGCATCTACTCCAAATCCTTTCCATCCGAAGTCTCTAATACCACTCCTCCTCTCATTCCCTGCCCCAATGGATGGGATGGCCTCCCCGTACTATGCCAAAAAGACCAGAAGCCAAAGCAAAAGGGCTCTTACACCCCCCACCTCCATCTTAGGGTCCATGGCTCACGCATCCTTTCCTCAGCTAACCCTCTTCCCAGGCCCTTAGCAACAGCTGCTTCCAACCCACTCAGGGACCTAGTCTGCCAGTCGCTCCCTCCCTGTACCTCTGGTGCCACCTCATTACAAATACAGTATTTGTTGCAGCTCACTTAACACTGTTTCCACAGTGAGTTATTTCATGTTACTTGTATCATTCTTAATTCTCTGCTGGTACATCCATCCCTCATACACGCAGTCATTTTTTCGTTTATTTTGCCAGTCTGCCAGGCTTTCATCCTTTTTCTATTTCCTTCATTCTCACTGCTCAAAAAATAGCACTGCTCTGCCTGTTTTCTCAGCACCCCTTCACCTCTAACCCTTGTGCTAGCAATCCGGTGTCCATCTACACCTGCACAGAAGCACACCTCTCACAGGGTACTAGTCCTCTCTAAAACACAAAATCCAGTCACCAAACTCAGTTGCCTTAATGTCATCACCATTTCTGACCTTTCTGCAGCAATGTGCAGATCTGACCCGCACCACCAGGCTGAAACATACCCTTCTTCAGTTTCTCTCTCACTCTGTTCCCACAGACACCCATCACTGAGATGGAAAAATCACCAAGGACCCTGCATAGGTCACACTGCAGTGTGTACCACCCCACTCCCAACATGGCTCTGTCAGTTTCTCTCCCAAGGTCTAGTCTTTTATTTATAATGCATACACCAAATAGATATTCAGCAATCTATCTGTCAGAACATTAAACAACAACAAAGGTAACTCATCATCTATCCCAAGAACCTGCTCCTGTCTGCCTCTTTTATTTCTGTCAATTGTACTATCTTCTCCCCCTCCCCCT